CCCACCCTCTGCCTTATTTTTCTCCATAGCACTTACCGCCTTCCTTTCTTACCCATTTACTTACTGATTTTGTCATTCTCCCCCAACTGAAATATAAGTTCTACGACATCAGAGATTCCTCTCTGGTTTGTTCACTGCTGAATCCCTGATGCCTAGAAAAGTGTCTTGGCTCATAGTAGTTGCTCAATAAATAGTTGTGGAATAGATGAGTGAATAAGTAAAAAGCACAGTGCTAGACATGAGACGTTCAGTGGCAATGGCGGTGCTCTTACTAATTCGTATTGGAAGAAAAGCCATTGCCGTGCCATCTTCAAAGTCTGCATGACTGTTCTTAGGGCCTGGTACCCTTAAGGCCAAAGCTTCTGCTGCACTTTCCTGCCCATTGTTGAAGAATGGGGGACTCGACCCTTGCCTGGAGTAGGGACAAGCGAGTCACACAGGAAGAGAAACTGGATGAAAGAAAATTGGCAGCAGGATTCCCAGAATACCTAGAGAGCTCCAGAGAAACCGGAAGCAGTGCCGAAACCCTTGTCATAGAAACCAATCAGGACTTCAAAGAGTACTTTAGGGCCCACAGCTGCAGAGGAGGTTTCGGCAGCCTCTGCTTCAAAGGCTGGGGTGCATGATGGAGAGAAACGGTCTTCTCTGACTAGAACTGAGGTCTTAAAGTCACAGCCAGCAAAGGTTTGGAAAATGAAAGAAAGAGCAGCAAGTCTAACTTGCTTTATTAATCTTTGCATTTGCGATGGCAGTAATGATGCTTAATCTTTCATCTTCAAAGTGCCTTACTCCATGAACTCACATACAAAGAGGACTCAGCTGTGTGTGATGCATTATAAGGCATGTGTTATTCTGATGGAAAAGATTTCACTGTTCAGTCGCCTTCCAACTTGACACATTCTAAAAGGAAAGTCTGGTATCAAAACAAAAATCTAAACAGAAACCAAAATAGCAAATAGCAACATGCATTAATCAGACTCATCTATTTGTACCAAAACCCACATTCTCTTAACTCCCTAGCCCCAGGGTATTGTTCTTTGTCGTTGCTGTTCATTTCTTTCTTCCTTTTCATTTTTCAATACCTCCTTCCAAGATTCTCGCAATGTACTTCAGAGTCCAGACTCTCTTATGGAAAGCATATGTCTTCAAGAACATACCGTTCCACTTGAAGTTCTGGAGCCAGTTTTATTTCTGTCCCAGGATTAAGTGAGAAACAACAATTGTTTGTAGGACTGGAAAGAACTTTAGGTTAGTTACTCAGCCAGGAAAAACCACCCATAAAGCAAAGAGAGTTTCTAAAAGACATATAAGAAAAGAAAGGCATCCTCAGTAACCTGTGGATCTCATTCACTCATTCATTGATTCATTTTATTTATGCAACATTTGTTGAAAGTTTACCATGAACTAGGTCTATGCTTAGTGCCCAAAATACTAAAGTAAATATGACCAGTCCCTACCCTCCAGTAGCTAGCTTATTGTCTAGGAGAGGAGACAAGCAGCTATATCAAAGTAGCAGAATATAGTTTGTCAAGGCTAAGACAGAGGAATCTGTCAGATTCAGGTCATGGGGCAGGACTTGAAAGATGGTTAGGTTAGAGAGGATGTTTTTTAAAGAGATAAGAGGGAAGGAGGTAAAGAAAAGGAAGAGAGGGTATTTTACGCGGAAAAAACTATACACTACATAAAACGATACAATGCAGGTGATATTCAGACTATTTAATAACTGAATGTCATGGGCACAGACAGAGGCCAAAGTCCTACAATGTGGCCCTAACCAGTGCCTGTGGGCTACAGATCTCAGGGTGTATAGTAGAGAGAAAAAAGCAAAGTATGATGTTGAGTCAAGATGTTTGTTACCCGTGGTGAGGGAATGACAGGAGGGGCCGTAAGAGGGACTCCAGGGTCCTGGCTTTCTATTTCTTGATCTGGGTGCTGATCACACAGGTTTGTTTACTTTGTGAAAATAAATAGACTTGAACACTTGTGTTAGATGTTCTTTTTAATGCAAATATTCAGTAAAGTGCCATGTTTAATGAAATGTTCCAAAAAAAAAAAAAAAAGCAAATAAACAAATACCATGTATTTAGGCATGTCTCAACTCATTGTGAATGGCTCCAACAAATAGTGTGTGTGGAAGAGATAAAAACAGAGACACAAAGTAAAGCCATGTTATAAGCATCTTTTATACTGAATTAAGGAGTTTGAGCTTTAGTCTCAGAACTATGGGACTCTTTGGAAGGACTATGACATGGTTGGAGCTGAGGGGCATTCGGAGTGTGGCCTCTAGACTTTGGCCTCTGGTTCCATGACTTAGTTGTGTGTAAACTTCAATCTCTTCATCTTCAAAATACACTAATGATTTTATTTGCCTTCTAAGGATGTTTTGAGAATTGAATACAATAATACACAAAAATATTTAGTATCGTGTGCACTATAGTCAGTAATAAATATTTGCATTTTGGAAAGGTTCCTCAGGCAGAAATGAGGAGAACGGATGGGGGATGACTAGCCCAGAGACAAACAGATGAATTAGAATGCTGTGGCAGGAATCTAGTAGAGAAGGATGAGAACCTGCCCGGGACAGGGTCAGAGAAAATCAAGGAAAGATCATTAAATTGAGGGGGTGGAATTAACAGGACTTGATCTGAGATATGAAAGAGACAGCAAAGTCTGTGATGACTCACCTGTGTCTGGCTTAGATGACTGCAAAGGTGTTGATGCTGTTAGAAAGTCAAGAGGAGGAATAGCCTTGGGGGAAGATCATGCATCAAATATGAAACCTGTCGATGTTAGGAATCCTGGGGACATCCAGGTAGGGATGTCCAAAGGAACTCAATACAGGTGCTTGAGCTGAAGACATAGATTTGGGAAGTATATAAAAGATTGTCGGAGGCATATGAGTCGATGAGTTCCTTCAGGGATGATGCATTGAGTGAAAAGAGCAAGGGGCCAGTTATGGAGGCCTAAGTAACATCAACTTTTAAAGGGGCAGACCAAAGAAAGGAAACGATGAAGAATTTAAGAAGAAACAGTTGGAAAGGTAGAAGCAACAACTGAGAGAGTGCTCTTGTAGTAGCCAAAAAAGATATCATCAACTGTGGCAAATGCCATGGAAATAACCAGTTAAACGAAGACGAAAAAGTAGACTCCTACATGTGGTGGCCGTTGGCGACTTCAGTGAGAGCAATTCCAGGGGAACAGAGGAACAAAAGCAGAATTGTCGTGGGTGTATGGTATGTGAATTAGAAGAAAGCAGTCAACAAGTGCAGTCAAGGGGAAAGAGAGCTACAGCCAGGAAACTAGAGGGGAGTAAGGAGTGAGTCTTTCTCTGAAGATCAGAATTTTCTAACTTTTTTCAGTATTCACCACCATCCATTTTGAAGAAGTTTAGATCTCTCTCTCTCTGTTTCTCTGTCTGTCTGTCTGTCTCTCTCTCTCTCTCTCCCCCCACTCTCTTTCCATCCCTTCCCCCTTCTCTCTCCTCTGTCTGTCTGTCTGTCTGTCTCTCTCCCCCTCCCTCTCTTTCTATCCCTTCCCCCTTCTCTCTCCTTTCTGTAGCCCTTCTTCCCCCTATATCCCTCCCTCCCTCCCTCCCTTCCTTAATTTCCATTCTAAATTTCCTCTCCAGAAGCGAAGGAGTGACTTATGTAACTGGAAGCACTTAATGTATTACCTTTTTAAGTATATTTAAAATAAGATGTTGAAAAGTGGGTCTATTCAGGGAAGGGAGCCAAAAGAACAAATTAAGAAAGGAGCCATAGAAGGGGTAAGAGAAAGGGCTTCTAGTCAGTCATTGTCCTGTTCTGACACTCCTGGGGTCTGTCCGGGGCCCCAAAGTGGCTTGTGTGTTAGAGAGAGTGAATAAGTGAATACACTCACAGCCTCTCTCTACCCTCCCCTTGCTGGAGTGGAAGCTGTTTCTCCCGCCCCTGGCTTCAGTGGCCTTGCGAGCCAATGATGGCATCCCTCCCGTAATGACTGCATGCTGGCTTTGTCCTAGTTGATCCTCCAGCCTCCTCCCCCCAGCTGGTGGCTGCTAGCCTCCAGAACCTAGCTCATACCACTTCTCCTGCAAATCCTCACCAAAACAGCTCTGGCTTCCAGGTAGATCTCAAAACTTAATTTCCTCAGGAACCTCCTCTTGTCCCCTTCAATTAGTCACTCAGTCAATGTGTTGTTCATTTTGCATTTCCTGAAGGGTTACTGTGAGTCATTCTCATTTTAGTTTATAATAATACTTCGCTTCATTGGTGAAATTATAAGGCACCAGGAGGAATTCTCCACTGCCTCTAGTGGAGCTTTCCATGTAGAGTAGGCTCTCAGCTTAGGCTGGTTTACAGAAGGTAAGTATGTGAAGTCCACACTAGACTATAAGTTCCTCAAGGATGGACTCTGGTCTCCTTCACCTTTTCACACCCTCAACCACCATCCCTAGAGTTTGGACTATTCCTCAATTTCACAGACATTTTTTAGTACCTACTATGTGCCAGAAACTGCACCAGATAGCTGGGAATTCAGCAGAGAACTAGGCAGACGAGGTCCCCGGCTTGTGGAGTTTATACTCTAGCCAACAAGGAAACAAACAAGTAGGCTGACTACAGGCTGTGGCTAACGCTTCAAAGGAAATAAACAGATCTATGTAACAAAGAAGGAGCATGCTTATGGTGAGACCTGGAGACTGATGAGGAAGGAATAAGGTACCTCTCAGCCTTCTCTTCTTATTTGATAGCTTCCACTCCTTGAACTTTACTTTCAATAAAATATTTATTTAAAGGGATATAATAAGGTGACACGTTATTTATTTTCTTGCTGAATGATTTCACAAACCACTAACACATCTGATCGCTAACAAATCAGCATCTCTCTAAGGGTTCTTCATCTAACCTGCATTATGGGGCTAGCAGCCCCGGGGCCCCACAGAAGTCTAGTGGAGGTGGCACCCAGCTGCACAGAGCTCTGCACTGAGGTCCATCTGACCCTCATGGTGGTTTGTTTCGCAGGTGAGCCGGCCTCATCCCAGTGACCACCCTCTCCTGATCCTTTTTGTGGTCGGCGGAATCACAGTCTCTGAAGCCAAAATGATCAAAGACCTTGTGCCGTCTCTGAAGCCAGGAACCCAGGTACCAGGGAGTGCTCAGTGGTATGCGTGAGAGTCCAAGGGCAAGAGCTGGAAGGCGGGTGAGGGCCCTTCATGAGGGTTCCCATCTCCATCCCAGCTCCTTCTCTCCCATTTGCTCCTGCCAATGCCATTCTCCTTCTGCCTGTGGGCCAGCCATCCTCCTAGTGGGGGTGGACAGAGTAGGGGGAGCTTTCCTTTTAAGTCATCTCCTGCCTCTGGGCTTCAGGGGCTAAACTAACATGCTGTTTTCCCTATTCCCTATTTCTGCATATATTCTCTTGTGTCCAACTGGTGCTGAATTACTCAAGAGTTTTCACTGCTTTCCAGGCTCCAGATAATTGAACGTGACTCCCTGGACCACCTCCCCACTGTGCAGAGGACTGGGCTAGAGAAGTTAGGGAAAGTGCATTGTCAAGATCAGGGGTCTCCAACCCCCGGGCCACGGACCAGTACCAGTCCATGGCCTTTTAGGAACTGGGCCGCACAGCAGGAGGTGGGTGGTGGGTGGCCCTGAACCTGAAATCAGGAGAGAATGTGCTTCTTAGCACAGTGCCTAGTACGTAACCCTCAATGAATGGCGACCACAGTTATTACCACCCGTTTCTGAGCAGTTGCCATCCTGCTCTGCAGGAGGGGTTGAGGCTCCTGGCATGAGGCAGCCAGAGCCTAAGGAGGGAGACATCAGGAAAAGGAGAGCCCTGCCTCGGTGTCCTGTGACCTGGCTGGGGAAGCAGAGCCTATAACTCAGTAAGACGAAAAATCCTGCCTTAGTGTGTTCCTCAAAAGAGACCTTGGGATGCGAGAGCAGGTAATTTATGTGGGAGATGATCCCAAGAAACAATAATGAGGGAATCAGAACAGAGACAGAGGAGGGAGAGAAACCAGAGAAGGGTCACCACCGACGTGGTTGCTGCTGTGGGCCACCGAGGCTCAGTACCCTGGGGGCCCCAGGAGGCGGCTGTTAACATGTCTCAGAATTGTCCTGCTGGATGACAGATACTCTGGTATATTTTCCCATAGACACTCTCCTTCCACCCCACTCCCTGGTCGGGACTCGCCTGTGGGGGCTTATTTTCAGCTTTGTGCCACTTCTGCATGCAGCTGGGCAGCTTTCCATGGTTTGGAGAAAGGAACACAGATGTGTCTGGTGCTTCAGGTGGGACGCTGGCTCGTACTACACAGAAACCGGTGGGATTCCAGCCCAGGCCTGTCTGCCAGGGGTGCTGGTATCCTTGTCTCCCGCCTCCACCCACTACTGCAGTTTCACCAGCTACAACCACAACAGGTGACGGTAACAGCAGCCAGCCAAGTGTGCCCTCATTCCCGCCTTCTGTGAAGTCATACCTGTTATTCCAACCCTTTCCCGAATCTCTACTTGCATCCAGAATCCATACTCTGCAGTGCAGCAGTGAACTGCTTGCTCACTACTTCCTGTTTGCTGGTCTGGTCTCCTCAAGCAAACAGGAGCTCCTTGAGGACAAAGGCTGAGGCTTCCCAGGCCTGAGCATGTGGCGGGAGGTCCATAAGCCTTGTGGTCTGATGGCTTGGTGGGCTGCAGGAGAACTGGCTTGCTGTTGGAGTGGCCACCTGATCAAGTAGAGAAGTCCTGGTTCCTATTGGTCTCCAGACACCCAACCAAGAAATGGATCGTGGGTACCTAAGGAACGACGGTAGATTCTTGAGCAGAGGAGTGACCAGTCATTGGCTGTGACCATTTCTGTTGTTACTATCACCTGTCATGGTCATAGCTGGTGAAATTTCTGATAAAGTGATCAATTCTGCCTCATTTAACACCCTCTCTGTCAGCAGTGTTAAGGATCTGTTTAGTGAGCAATTGCCTTTTCAGCAAGACATATTTTTTAATCAGAAAGTATACTTTTCACTGCCTCTAACATGGTGAACCAAATTCTTAGCTCTTCAGAACAGTCACGCATTGTAACAGCCTGACAGACATGTTAATCCTCACTTTAAAAGGATAAAATGCAGACGTTTTCAAAGCTGAGTGACCCAAGTTTGACAACAGAGACCAGAATCTGTAATCTGACCCCTGTGCTCAGTCATCTGCAGAGAGAGCTTCTCAAAGAATTTTGGGCTTAAGGAACAGCCTTGACTGCTACTTGTCCTTCGTGCAAAGAGTTCTCCGATAGAGTTAACAGTCCCTAGGAAGATTCCAAAGAGGAGTTCTTTGTCATCGGGCCCTTCATCTCCAAGATTTTGAAAAGAGGCGGATTACCTGGATGTTTGCCGGAGTGACACCTGCAGCGGCAGATCTCCCTTCCGCAGCTGCCCTGGCCCTGTGGCTAGCTGTGCCCAGACCTGGGACAGGAGCAGCGTCCTGCTCTGCACCGCAGCGGAAGTCAGGGCTTGCTGTGCTAGCGGTACACAACCGGCACACACAGTCGTGCCGTCCTCCACGCAGACTTCCTGCTGTTGGAGTCCGTGTGTGAGCTAAACTGGATCTTTGCACCAACAGACCCTCAAAGACACGTCCAGCAACCAAGAGAGTAACTCTGACTTAATCATCAATGTAAAGCAGTGGCAATAGACGTATCTAATACTTCCTTCTGTCTTTAATATCTAGCCTATACATGAACATCTCCAGTTGCGAGGATTTGCCCTTCACGGCAGCCTTCTTGAGTCTCACAGGGCTTCACTCTGAGGACTGTTATGCCCCCTGTAGACAAATCCAGATCGGCCTCCTCGGAGCTCTTGTTCATCAGTGCTGGTTCTAGCTCTTCGGCCACCCAGAATTTACAAGCAAGTCGGGCTTATCCTTCTTCCAAATGTCCTCCCTTAGGTCTGCTCTTCTCCAAACAACTATCCTCGGTTCTCACAGCCACTGCATCCCAGCCCGTGATGTGGATCGGGATGCCCAGGCTGTTGGGGCTCTGCTCAGTCCCAACGTATCTCTAGCTTGCACGAAGTTGGAACTGAGAGCCATGCTTGAGTATGGCCCGATCGGTGCAGAGGTACCTGGGGCCACCTCCTCCTCACCCCACATGGCCTACAAGGCCCACACAGACAGCCACTGCATCCCAGCCCGTGATGTGGATCGGGGTGCCCAGGCTGTTGGGGCTCTCCTCAGTCCCAACGTATCTCTAGCTTGCATGCAGTTGGAACTGAGAGCCTCACCCCACATGGCCTACAAGGCCCACACAATCTCACCCCTGCCTCCTTTGGGCCTTCTTTTCCTATTGCTCTTCTGCTTACTTCCTCCCCTCCAGCCTCAGGACTTTGCATTTTACTGTTTTAATCCCAGCACCTCAAGCAAAGTCTGGCATTAGGTGTCATGATTGCTCATTGGATAGCAAATATCGAACACTAGAAACTTTACTTATATTATTACAGAATAGGTAATGGTAACTTTTCCGGAGACTACACTAACATTTCATCCTGAGATTATGGACAGCTAAAACCACTCTGTCTTTTGTATCAATTGCTATTTATCCATATCTTCTCTATTCTATATCCATGTGGGTGCGCTTTGGACCCAATTACAGGAATTTACAATCATGTCTGTTAAACTGGATTAGCTGATTATTCATCTACTCTGTGCCAAGCACTGTTCTTTGTGCTGAAGGTAGAACTGTAACCAAGCCAGACACATTAGTGCTCCCATGGAATTTATACTCTAATAGTGAGTGACGGACATTAAACACAAAAACTCCAGCCAGAGATAAGAACCCAGACAGGTGCCGTGGTGGCAATAACTGGAGGGCGAAGTTCCTTCAGATGGCATAAGCTCCTCGTGGAGGGGAAGGCCATGAGCTGGGCTGTGAAAGGCATTCAGGGATCAGCTCTTCAAAGGAAACTGATAGAACCCATTTAGGGCACATCCAGAAATGAATTCTCTTTCACAAAAAATGACAAGGATTGCATGACACAGAGGAATCCAGAGGCCACATTTGCACCTGCTGCTCCCCTAGGACTGTTGTCATACTCTAAAATGGGCACGTTTTCTCCATCCTCTGCTCGGGGTTGTTGTTGTATGTGCTGATGAAAGTGGGAGGTTGGAGAAGACTCTCTTTCCTGACTACAAAAAAAAAGGGGATCAGAGGGGCAACTCCCCCCACCCCACCGCACACAGCCACAACCATGAGGCAGGAGACTTTGCAGGCTTCCCTCGCTCTGGAGTGCATGCGCCTGGCACTGGCCTCTGTCTCGCTCACTCTCTGCCTGGTGTGGGGCTCCATGCCCAGACAGCTCTATAGGCTGAACTCTGTAGCTGGATGGTGGCCGGGAATCCAGCAGAAGCCTGGGATTGTGGGAGGAAAATAACAAGGAGGAACCCTCCCAGAAAATACAGGGACAGGCCAGCTCAGGAAACAGGAAGACTAAGTAGGCAAGTTGACCCAGCCATCCACTGCTTTTCATAGGCACATGCATGTTGAAAAGCAGTGGATGGCTTTTCATGTGGTTCTACATTTCTGGGGCTGAGTATTTGATAAGAATGCAATTTTTTAAAAAAGCAGACCCAAATATATGCTCATACACACACAATTTTGCACAACTTGAGGGGTTCAAGAACACCTGAATCCCGGCTCTAACTCCTGGCTCCATGTCATTCTAAAGTTGATGGGAAGCTCAAGAAGAGGAGTTAAGAGACTTCTTTTTTAAATACCATCATAAGGGACAAAGGTGAGGAGATGACCTGAAATCTCACACTTGCCATTCTTTAGGAGAGCCTGATGAGCCCAGCGCACTGACCTCTGAGGCAACGTGAAAGCAGGTCTGACAGTTTACAGAGAGTTTTCCAGAAAGCTCAGTCACGTCCACTTAATTAATCCACTGTCCTACCAATTTAATGAACAATTTTCATGTCCAACACAACTGTGTGAGAGTGTGTGACTGTGTGTGTGTGTGCGTGTGCGCGTACATATGTGGGTTACTTTTCCTGAGAAGAATCTGCCATGTTTAAAAGGAAAGGGGAGAAAAAATTTTTTATCCCCTGCTCTTTTCAATTTACATGTTAGAAATCAGAAGAAAATAGAATCTAAATCTTGGACTGCCCTGCGTCTTCTGTGTTCTGCAGAAATAGAACCGGCAGATGCTGGCACCTACAAATTATAGCGATGGCCTAGAGAAGTGGAAAATGGAAAGAAAGCGAGGGAGGGTGGTTACTCTCCAGCACTGTTGCTCCTGCGAGAGCTCAGGGCGGGCTGAGAACAGAGACTGAATCGTCCCTCTTCCTAGACCAGCTAGAACAGAGTGCAGCTGTGGAGCCCCAAGGCTGCTTTAAGGGCTTAGTTCTGAGTCTCAGGGAACCCTAGTGTCCTCCGCCCCATCTCACAGATGGCGATTTCCATCAGTGCCCTCGGTTGCCTGAGAAAAGCCAATTCTCCAAAAAGAATTCTCTGACACTCAATTTGCCTAATATCACATGTTTTATTACCGTGTTTGTAAAATTTAAATTTTATATCTGACAGGTCAATTTCAGACTTTTTTAAAGCATTTTCTTTATCATTTTTGAGTGCCTTTTCTTTTCCCATTTGCCTCATTTTTTTTTTAGAATTTTAAGGACTATTTTAGCCAATACAGAAATGCCATTAGTTGAATGGACTGAAAAAAAAAAAGAATCCTGAAAATGCTTAAAAGCAATCCGAAGACCAAAAGATGCTTAAGATGTGAAAATGCTTAAGACCATCAACCATTACACTGTACATATAATGTTAGCAGTACAATCCTGCTTTTTCTTCAAAATAAGAATTTTAGACAAACGGGGTTTTAGTTGGATTGATTTGAACCAAATTTACCCAGAGCTTGTGAGCTGTCTTTTACTAGAGAAACTTCCTGCCGACCATTACTAAGCTCACTGCCTCCTTCATTGTCTTACTGTTTTTGTTCATTCATTTAATCATTCACCGACTCACTCTATCAAGGACCTGCTGTGTATCAGGATCTGTGCTAAGAAACAATGGAAAGACTCAGTTAAGGAAACGGGGAATGTAGGGCGATACCAGCAGCCATGGGAGCATAGTCATTCTTCGGGGTTGGGGCGGGAGTGTCTGGGAAGGCTTCCTGGAGGTACTGATACCTGATCAGATGAAGAGATCTTCAGGCAAAGAATCAGGGAACTCGTGTTCCAGATAAAGAAGCATCCCCAAAGTTCCAGCCATGAAACTGAAAATAGTTTAGGGTGACTCGAATACAGAACTGACGGTGAGGGGGGCTGGTGGCCAGGGGATGGGTGTGGCATGCTGAGCAGCCATGGATTCTAAAGTCCTGAAAGGCTCCCTGTGGGCGTTGGGCTTATCCAAGGGCAGGGAGGAAGTAGGAAGGGTTTAAGCCTCTGAGTAACAAGATCAGATTCACACTCTGGGAGGATGGCTCTGGCTACTCGACCTCCCAGTGACTGCTATGAGCCAAATAGAGGGAACACAGCAGAGGATGAAGATAATGAGGTGGCGATGATGTTGAAGGCAATAATAGCAGCTACCATTTTAAGCCCCTCTGGAGCCTGTCATTATGCTAAATATTTTACATATATGTTCATATTTCATCCTCAATAATCATGCGAAGCGGATATCACTGTTCCCACTTTACGGATGAGGAAATTGAAGCTCAGAGTAATTAAGCAACTTCTCCGGAGCCATCTCTCTGGCAAGTGGCCCAGCTGGGGTCCAACTCAGTGTGGACAGTCTGAACTAAGCCTGTGCTCTTAACCACTATACTGCTGGGCAAGAGCCCGTGGTGTCAGTGCTGCTTTCTCCCCTCCTCAGAGACCCCCTAACTTACTTCACATGCCGCCTCTGTTTTCCATCTGTTTCTCTTCAGCCCTCCACAGAGCAGGTCCCAGACACCCTCTGGTTTAGCCCACATGCTGTGTAATTACATGCTTTTTTTAGATGTAAAGGGCCTGGTCTTTGGTTCCAGCTCAGTAGAGTTGACCAAACCCAGAGTCTGTCAGCCGTGGCTGGAAGCCCAGCACATGACCTGAGAGAGATGGATTCTTTTGGCTCAGTTATCACTGCTCTAGAAGTGTCAACATCAACCGAGTCTGGAGTCTTTTCTCTCCAAGTCTCTCAATCCTGCCAGCAACTCTTAAGCATCCTGAAAACTCACTCTAGCCCTTACAGTTGCCCTCACTTCAGCCAGAGAGGAATCTGCCATCTTGGCACTAGAACTAAGGACCATAGGATCTGGCAGTGGTAGTGGGGACCAGCAAGTCACACGGGCAGAGAGGCCTCGGACACACTTGCTACACTGGCTTCTCCTACCTCACAAGGGTCTACAACCAGAGAGAGTGCAAAGGATTTTTTAAAGTGTGCATTTTTTAAAATATTTAAATAAGGGTTTCTTAACTTGTGGTCTGTGAATCCCAGTTAGACACAAACCTCACCTAAAACTATATTCAGAATCTTGGACATATGAATCTATGCATATTTTTCTTAACTTTCATAAGATTCAAAAGGAGGCCTATGACCCAATCACAAAATTGCAATAAAATAGCTCGCAATTGCTGAGCACCTACTGTGCTCTACGCACTTGACGTTATGTAAGACTTGCCGTAGTGCTGCGAGCTCTGGGCTGTCGTGTCCTTCCGAGGCTCCAAGCGAGGTGACTTTCGCCAGGGCATAGCCACTCGGCAGTGGAGCAGGCCGTATGAAGGGAGGTCTTAGCCACCATTCCGGGCCAGCTTGGCCTAGAAGACCCTGAGGAGTGAGTGGAGACCTCCAGAGCCACATATTCCAGTGGTATCCATTCCATGCATGTGGATGATGGGGCTGCTAATGCTCGCTCACTGCCCTCAAACTCTCATCATGTGGCTTTCAAAGAAAAATGTGAGCACAGATTTCAGTGTATTTTTTTCTGCCAAAACTATGACTAGGCTGACGTTAACCATATATTTTTAAAGATAACTCTCTTTCAAGAAAAAGTAAAATAGCTGCTTTCTATTAAAAGAAAATTTTTAATAGCCCTCATTTCTTTCACAACAAGAAAGTTACAAATGCTTCTTTCTCCTCCTTCGACTTCACCCCTATCCGCTTTTCCTCCACATTGGAGTGTAGACTCTGTTTCTTACCAGTGAGCTGGGAAATGGGAGCTGGTTAATTCATCGGTTTTGTTACACCAGGGACAGTGTTGGGGAGGGCGGGAGGGGAGGTAGTGAAGTGTGCAGTTCCAACTTGCTCTCTCTCAAGGGGCACAGCCAGGCAGTATGGCCAGGAGAGGTCCGGTCCCGCTGCCGGCCTTGCAGCTCCCTTCACAAGGGTGCTGGGCTGTGGAGTTCTGAGTCTGGTACCTCCTTCCCCATTTCCCATGGTCACCTCCTCATCTAATGGGTGTACAGCACCTGCCTGTGCAAAACCTCACAGTCTTTACAAAGCACATCACAGCCCCAGCCCAGTTCTGGGGAACAAACTTTCCCAGTGCTGAAGAGAGAGATCTGCCCTAGAGGAAATGTCCAGGCTGAGGGAGCAGGAAGGGTCACCTGTCACAACAACAGGCTGGAGAGGCCCAAAGGCCCATGTGAACCAGGGCAGTAAAGCAGCCTTTTCCAGAGCCCTTGACCATGAAGCAATGACAGGATAGACACTTGGAACTGGAGCCAGCCTGCCTGGTTTGGAATCCTGACTTAACCACCTTCTGTATGCCTTTGGACAAGTTATTTACCCTTCCTCTACTTTATTTTCCTTACCTGCAAAATAAGAATAATATATGTACCTATTTCACAAGATTGTTACAGAGGTTAAATGGATATTAAATGAGATCATCCTCAGTGCTGGCACATCATAAGAACTGATCAATATTAGCTGGTATCATCATTATTATCATCATTGTTACGGGTTGAATTGAGTCCCCCTTCTAAAAGATGTTGAAGTCCGAACCCCTAGTACCTATGAATGTGACCTTATTTGGAAATAGGTCTTTGCAGATGATCGAATTAAGTTGAGGTCATTAGGGTGACTATATGAGTGTATCCTAATGAAAAGGGGAAATTCGGACAGAGACAGACACACACAAAGGAAAGACAATGTGAAGACACAGGAAGCTAAAAGGGAAGCATGCAACACATTATTCCTCACAAACCTTAGAAGAAACCAACCCCGCCAACACCTTGACCTTGGACTTTTGGCCTGCAGAACTACGAGACAGTAAGTTTCTGTTATTTAAGCCACCCAACTTTTAGTACTAGGAAATTAATACAATCATCATCCTTATCACCCACATCATTTACTTCTTGGGCATCCCTTCTTATGCTCCTTGAAGGAGGGAGAGACCTCTGCATCAAGGTCAAATTACTGGATTGAAAAGCAACGGCATGATCAACTTCAATTCAACAGCAAGGAAGTGGCTGGGCCTAGCCTTTCTTTTACCCCTTGGTTAAAAGTTCAGCAGACACAGTCCTGCTGTCCCATGGGCCATCCTCCCCAGACTGCATCCTCCTTCAGCCTAAGACACTAGCATCCAGTGGCATTCAAGCTACCGTCTTCTGCCTTTTTCTCCACAGTACCCACTCTGTGCCTTCTCCCAAAGAAATATGTGCATTTTATTTTTCATCATCTAATAACCTGGGGTTGGCTTCTCTAATTGTCTGCTGTGTGTTTGCCCCTCCTGTTGTTAGGTAATCGTGCTGTCCACTCGACTCCTGACGCCACTTAATATTCTTGAGCTGTTATTTGCAACTGATCGGCTGCATCCAGACCTTGGCTTCTGAGCACCTGCTAAGATGAGACCTAACCGAGCTGGAAATGCCACCCTATTGTCTGTCAGCATTCAAGATATGCCTCCAAATCCAGTGTCCCTGGTACTAAGCGTCGGTATGACTGGATTCTGCCCGAACGGTCTTGAGAACCACACAGTGAAGTACTTTGCTTGGATTCTTGTGATTGTTTAAAAAATATATTTTTTTTTCATTCTTCTAAAGGTGTCTAACTGTCTTTCAACTGACCTAATTCATAATGGTTCCCATTTATTCTTAACCCTCTATTTCTGATCTTCCTGATTTCACCTCCAAGTTCATTTATTCTAAATAAATGCCTGTAGGTGAGTGTTGGTAGATTAAAAGCCTTTTGATCTGCAGTTGCTCAAAAAGAAGTTAGACATGCTTTAGAATTCTGAGTGTGAAGGAGGGAAGTTCAGGTTTTTTGAGATTATATAACTGAGGAAGGAACATTGCACATAAGATCTGAGGCTTTGTTTCTCTCTTGATCCGAGACATTTCCGAAAAGGTGAGAAAGGGAGGGAGATGGGCAGGGCCGCCCTGGTAGTCTGCCTGCTGTAAATCGGCCCACCTCGACCGAGGGCCGCGTTGTTCCAGCCTGTGCTCCGGGTGAGGCTGCCAGCCTCCTTGGGAGAAGGGTGGGCGAGCGGTTGCTTAGAGGGGGCTGCCTCTTCCTGGGAAGGGTACCCTTCCCTCCCAAAGGAAAACACCAATAATGATGTCCGGTCCCAGGGAGTCTAGATTTGAACCCCAACCCCTATGACTTTTGTGATTTCACTTCTATTGAAATATAAAGCTTTCTTTTCTATAAGTCTAATTTTTCCTCCTGGCCATAGCAGAAAAAAAACCTAGATCCACCTAGTGAAATTATATATGAACTCACAAAAATTAACCACTTGGAACCCATACATTTGTAGATGTGTAGTTGATGTAAATTTCTGGCATCTCTAAAAAGTGTTTGTAATAAAGAGATAAAGCTGAAAAACAGTTTCTAATGTGGCATAAAAGGTGGAGGAAATAAAATGTAAACCGAAACATTCACATCTCTGTTTTAATTTTCGACAAAAGAGTCATTTTATGAAAAAATTGTAAGTTGGAAATCATTCTGAAACATAATCAAAGCAAGCTTGATAGACACCGACTCTCTTTTCTCGTCTGTCCCATTGTTTTCCACCTCACAAAAGTTCTTTA